AAAAAAAAAAAAAAAAAAGGAAAGATAGAGATAGAGGGAAAAAAAGGATTCGAATGTTCGATGCATTGAGGATCGTGCACCTTTAGGCTTTATTTTATTTTCACTGCTCGCGCGTTACAGAGAATCGCGAAAATCTATTGATATCTATTCAACGTTGACCGACCGTCGATAATCTTCTCTCTAACGGGTATCGACCGGTCGACGTTCCACTCCTCGAGCGGGATCGGCTAGGCCTCGCACCAAATTTCCTCCACCGATTTGATCCAAATTTCTGTCGAGCCGAAGATCGTCGCTCGAGGACAACGGTCGATTCACGCCACGAACCAGATTCCCTCCGCCGATGCTGTCCAAGTTTCGTTCATCACGACTCTCCGCTTCCCGTAGCAAATTCCCGCCACCGATCTGATCGAGATTCCTACGCGACCAACGGTTGTCGTAGGACAAGCCCTCACGCTCGGCCGAAAGAGAACTCACGCCACGCAACAGGTTGCCCGCACCGATCTGATCCAAGTTGCGCGAGAGTCGCTCATCCTGTCCATCGCGAGCATCGTAATTACTTTTTCCAACGCCGCTTCTTGAGAGTAATCGTGCGACGTTGCCGCCTCCTCTCAGTCGGGACGAGTAACGGTCCGATTGCCCCACTTTTTCCCGTGGCAATCCTGAAAATTCGTCGATCGTCGTTTCGATCCCGTGAGTATCAAAAATTCGTCGAAATTCGTTCGTCATCACCATCACCACAAATCCCTTCTTCGAGCAAGCGTGTTCTTCCGTTCTTCAACCCGTAAGCGAATTATTATCGCTTTTCGAACGAGAGAGACAGAAGCGTATGCGAAACACAAGCGACGTACTACACATAGAATGGATAAAATGCAAGAGAAACGAAGAAATGGTAACTTACCATGGTCGTCGAGAAACGCGGCGAATAATTCCGGATTAACGGGTCCGTAAAACTCTCTGCGCAGAAGGTTAGTTTCAGCCTGGAATCAAACGATTGTCCTGCGATTAGATCGAGATCGTGCCACGATTGACAGCACGCGATTCGTCCTCGATCGATGAAAAATTTTCCCTCCCACTCTCGAAAAATATCGATTCAACTGTTGGAAATGTTTCGACCGCATGATTTTGCGATTTTACCATTGCGAAGATAAAGATCGTTTTCGTTCGCGTGACTTGCAATTTGAAACAATTTCGAGCACGATCGAATGTCATTTAGTCAAGGTGAGAAAAGAAAAAACGATGGTTACCTGAACGGTGGGTATCCAAACGGTTGCCGTGATCGAGAGAGCCAGAATCGAGAGAGCGAAAACACTGTGGCACGACATCATTGATTGGGTAGCGAGTCGCGCAGCTTTTACCAAAAACGTGAAATAAAGCGGGCGTTTGAGTGTACGAGGTGTACCTACCACTCAAATCGTGTGCCTTGTACCGATTCACCTCGTGGTTGTTCGAAATATATATAGAGAGGGTAAGCGGTCGAGAGGGTACGGATCGGGGGGTGCGAAACGGGCTTGGAGGACGCACGCGCCGCGACGCGACGCGACAAACCGCGACAAGTCGCGACGCCGAAATCCATTATCCCTTACGCGTGGTCTCACCTCGTGCCTCCGATCATATCATCACGGCCCATCGCGCGCATTTCGCTTCGATGGCATTCCCAATTTCATTTCCAACCGATTCCGTATTTAGGAAAGTAATCGATCACTACTTTCGCCTCCCTTCGAATACAATTGTTCGCGCCACGTCTATCTTCCCCATTCCATTCCATTTTCGATCCGTTTTTGATCACGACATTTCAACGACGAGGGACAAAAAACCCTGGGAACGCGATCGATCGATCTCGCTCCTCCGTATTTGGAGCAGAAAACGATTCTCGCCACGCGTGAATGCCACAAGTATATACACACGTGCAAATTATCGACGTCTCATTAACGTTTTACGAGTGAGAAAAACGAGCTTAAGGGCGCCGGTTTCGAATCAACCGAAAGCGCGTTTATAATCCTCCTCTCTACCGTTCTTTTTCCAATCCAAGAATCGTTTTCATATTTTGGCGGGATAAACGAATATCTCAAAAATGAAACGAAATGGAACATGAAATAGGTGTCGAAAATATCGAGTAATGATTAATGAATTTATGATTTACGAAGATACGATTTATTAAAATTTTTTTAGTAATATTTTTTTTTTCCTCTGGATTTTGACACAAGAGAATAAGTATGATTTTCAGACCAATTCTTTTGTAAAGATAACGAAAATGAATACGAAAAAAAGATAAACCAACGAGAAAGAAGAAAAAAAAATTCTCCTGCATAATTTTCAATTTTAGATATGCCGATAAATGCGAAAGAAGATAAGACGCGAACGTGCATTATCCACTCAATGCAATATGTACCGTTTAAATCATCCTGTTTACTTTTATACTCGTGTTCCTTTGCCATACCTTTAACCATTCCCGTTAACACGGTTGAGTCGAGAGCACTTTGCTTTCTATATCGACTCGACTTGTTTCTGATAGCGCGATTGACAGCTACTCGACACCTTTTGCTCGCTAATGAATACCATTCTCTTATCTTTTTCCATTCTCTTCCCAATATCATCAAATATCCTCGCTCCAATCGCTCCGACATTCGATTTATCTTCGATTGAAAAAAAGTTGCGGTCATTGGAAAATGAAATAAATTATATCTTTCTTCGCAGAGATCTCTCTTCGACGATGTAAAATTTTCGTTGAAAAATTAAAAAGAATTCGCGTGTTTCAGAATTGGAAAGCCACTTACTGTTATTGAAACGAATCGCCGATTCGAGTAACATACAGGGCGGGAAAGTACATATTTGTTTGTTCCGTCCAAGTGGAAAATCACTGATCGACCTTTGTATAGCATGGATGGGTCAGGACTAATTTTAGATCGTGTCTCGATCGTTGCAACAGATACAATCGAGTACTTAGTAGAACAAAACTGCCTGTACATCACTTACGAGTCCCTGTTAATTAATCGAATTATCGAGAACGTTCGGTAATGCTAATAGCTGATAACGAAACGTTCAACATCGTTCCTGCTTGCATGGACAACATTTATCCTGTTCGTGCGGTTTGCGCATGAAGCCAAGTAACGCGCAAAACGCTCATAATGCTGAAAACTAAATACATACTAATATATATATTTGACGCAATAAATTTAATCTTTCTTTTTTTCCTTCTATCCTTTTTTAAAATTTTGCAAATAAATATAACGTTTTTCTTCGTGTTTTTTCATTCTTGCGTTTTTTATTATCAATTTCGATTCAAGGAAACCACAAAGGCGTGCCTAATGTTTCCTTTAGTCCGCGAGATGGCAATCGCATCGCAACTACCGACCACCTTCGATCGATACTCTACCGCGTCATCTGTGTGAAAATGAAAACGAAAACTGTTCTACTCCTCTTCGTATGTTATTTTTTCGCCCGAAGCGCCGCAAACGACGAATTTCTTGACGACGATTACGAAGGTGATAATTTGAATATCGACGCGTCGATTATATATATATATATATGATTGTCTATTACTTTTAACACTTAGTTACAACGACCCATGTTTACGAGATACTCGTTCGCTTTTTCTAACCTTTAACGTGTCATAAAATTATATTTAATTCTTTTCGATTGCTTTCGCAAAAAATAACGATTTGATAATAATCCGTAATTTAAACGTTACAGAAGATCCACGAAATTTTGATTTAAATCGAGTAGATTCGTTTCGGGAATATGTATTCGGTCGTGATGGAGAGAATCGTCGAAACATCATTAACGATGAATTGGAAGATTGGCCTGGCCGATGGATGCCCGACAGACCAAACGATCCTACTCCACCACCCAAAATATTTCCAAAGATTAGTCAGACAACTGTGCAATCCCTTCATGGAATACCAATGGGATATTCGTCGCAAAACTGCGACGATGCAAAAGTATGTATATCCATATGTCATTTATTTCTCCACTGATTATCGTTCATCGATCATTTTTATCTCGCATATCATTTTTTAGAGTAATTTAACCATGGATTGGGACGGCAATCCAATTGTTCATACCTGTTACGACAAAAGAATCGTTCCGAATAGAAGTACAACAGCAATCATGTATTGTGTACTTATGCCCAAGTATTATGTTGTAAGTATATATATACATATGTATAATTACTTCGATGATAAATGCGTTGCATATTAATTCGAATGTTTATAGGCTATGCACAAATGTATGTACGAGAAAATAGAATACGACGAAGTTGTTCCTGTATAGTAAGTGCGATCTTTGTTTGATTTCGTTAATTTCGAAAAATCTATAAATCTTAATAACCATGTATTATTTTTAGCGGAACACACAGACCTTTATGGCCTGTTTATGGCGAGTACAAATTTTTACCGAAGCAAAGGTGGCTTCATAGTTTAGAGGTAATTAGCATGTTCGAAAAATAATTCAATTTCTCTTTTCTAACCTATTCCTTTCAGCATGGAGCGATTGTTGCGTTATATCATCCATGCGCCAATCCGATGCAAGTAAGGCGTTTAAAAAGCTTGCTCGCAGGCTGTCTACGACGACATGTGATCAGTCCATATAACCTCTTGGATGAAAGTCATGTAAGCATTCGCAAATCATAATTGATTGAAATTCGATTAAATGTAAAATTGATGTTTCAGCCGTTAGTTTTGATCTCTTGGGGATGTCGATTGAGCATGTCATACGTAAATCCCGAGCTAGTCATTGAATTTATTCGTGAGCATGCTCGTCGAGGGCCGGAAGAAATCTCGAAAGATGGTGATTTCGTCGAAGGTCTGTTACATCGAGCCGAAATTGTGTCCGATATTGACGATACGATATTATGTCCCAACGCCCATACATTTTAAAACTTCTACATCGTATGCGCATTGGTGCATCTATATCGTCCCTTTTGCTTCTATTATAATACGATACGTACATGTACATATCAATCTTTTATTATTTATTTATTAAGCGCGTTTCTTTCCTTGTTCTTTTTCCTCTTATTTTCCTTCATCCAACAGCTCTCTCCTCTTCGTTTTTTTTTTTAACGTGACTTGTGTTAGAGGAAAATTAATAAAAAAAAAAAAAAAAAAATCGGAAAATAACACAATCTTTTTCCTTTCTTCTTCCGTTCAATGAATCCTTTTTTTTTTTTTTTTTTTCTTTATTTTATTCATTGATATTACCATCGAATAACGCGTTGAAGAACAAGGACAAAGGAAACGAATAAATGGGACGCGTAATATTCACTCCCGTTACATAATTCTTGTATATTGTTCATCTTTCGAGAGAGAAGATCAATTAGTTAAATACATTGAACATCGTGTCGGTTTTTAAAATCTCTGCGGACCTTTGTTATCTACAGACGTATAGTAACTTCACTGTAGTGCTGACTATAATCGTTATTCCTGCGATTACGTATCTTCAATGATATATAAAATTAGGGTAAGACAAGTAACGCTATCATATCTCGATAATGTAAAATATACTACTCGTCTACTCAATGGTAAGTCGTTAACGTAAAAGAATATAATTGTACAGTAAACGCTTGGCTCTTATTTTTTTTTTTTTTTTTGTCTTCGTTATCGCTTCGATAGATCAATAGATCACAAAGAAAATAGCTACTACAACGCGAGAAGAAATCGGCGAATCGGTGAGTTAGAGGCAGCGACAAGATTCCAAACGTGAGTTCGCGGTTGAATCGCTTATCGCGTTCAGAGAATACAGAGAAAATCTATCGATTCACCGATTTCCTACTCCTGTTATTTGACCGAACATCCACGGACGCGATCCGACTCTCGTCGTTATAATATATCAGACATGCCCTTTTTCTCTTCGAAATTTCGTTTACTTCTTAATATTCCAAACCCGGATCTATGGGTATTTTTACGAGATATCTATTTCTTTTTTTTTTTTTCTTTTTTATAAGGATGCATGTACAGCTATATATATATATATATATATTTGTATTCAGATTCGCAGAACCATCGATATTTTTGTGCAGGATTAGATAGGTAAAAGGGCACGCTTTGTTTTTGTTTTTTTTTACACGCTGTAGTCAGCGCTGCAACGAATTTTCTTCTCTCTGTTGGATGACGAGTGTGGATCTCGCCTTGCGTTTTCTTTCCTCAAACACAGCTAATAAACGCGTTACGACGATGGATTTCTTAATATTATTGCCAACTTTGTACAGTGTTGATAATAATAATGATAATAACAATAATATCGCATTAAAGATGGAAAATAACAATCTATCTCGTTCTGTTCTCGTATAACTGAGAGAGAAAGAGAAAGGTAGAGAGAAAGAGAGAGAGAGAGAGAGAGAGTGTGAGAAGTGAAATGCATCTATACTCATTTGATGCAAATACGACTCATAGGCGGAAAAACACCGTTCATTTATTTAATAAGTAATCCTTAGTACAGGTCTCTTTTTTACTTTTTCTTTTTCTATTTTTTTGCCTTTTCTTTGTTCTTACGTAGTTCTTTCACCTAATAGAAGTGTATCTACGATAAAAAGTATTTTTCCATATCATTGTTCAACGTGCTAAATTCTTCAAATTTTTATCTCTTTCGTAAATCGGTTTCTCTCTCGCATGCACGCACACGTAAATAAATATTCTTTCGTTCAAACGTTCTTGCCATCGTTCGTTCGTTCGCGCATTCGTTCGATCGTGCATTCGTCCGGTCTCTTCCTAAACTTTTCCTTTCATCCTTGGTTTTTTTTTTTTTTTATTTTCTTACTTTCGTACTTTTTTCGCTCGCTCGCTCGCTCGTTCGTTCGTTCGTTCGTTCGTTCACTCGTTCGTTCGCTCGCACGTACTTTCTATTCCTTTCTCTCCCACACTCTCATTCCCTAATTAATTTCTCAATAATGTAAATTTATTATAATAATCTCACTTTGGCGCGTAGCAGTCAAGAGACATGGCCACGCAACCTCTCTTATCGTTATGATTTAACACCGACACCCCATCACGATCGCTCTTTATTTTTTGTTCGTTTGTTTCTTTTATCTGAAAACATTCGCAAACTTACACGATTTACGCTCGAAAGTGGAATTGACACTCATAAGGTTATTGAAATAGTCTCTCGAAGAGTAATAATTGCACCGATGCGACACGACCAATGTAAGTACATTCTCGATACTTTGTCGTGTTCGAAGTCTCTAAAGCGTTCCATCTGCTTTGTCACAATTCCCGTTTCTTCGTCGTATTTACTTCCTGATCGATTCACATTTTAGCCCATCTGTCGGTCTTCTCTTTCATTCGTTCACATCACACGTTTCCTAATTCTTCTAAAATAAACAATACACAATTTTTCCGTTCTATGGAACAACGTTCGTTCGTTTTGTTAAGAAGTAAATATACAAGTAATAAATAAGGAGAAAGAGAAGACGTGAGAAGAGAAAGAAAGAAAGAAGAAAGAAAGAAAGAAAAAGAAAGAAAGACAGACTGACAGACGGACAGCAACGTTGCGCGAATTAAGATAAAATATTCCGCACGTTCGTGAAATCTTATTCTCATGAACAAAAGAAAATTAACGAAGTCACAGGTGTAATGTATAATACGTGAACGAGAAAAATCCTCTTCCTTACTTTTTTAGGCCAATACACACTATATGTATGCATATACCAACGAGATCATCGATGATACGTGCACTGTTTTGCAAGTTTACAGGTATATAATTCTATCATGGCCCGAAAAACTTATTCGATGGTACTTATTTGAAAGTAAATATAATTTGATTCTTCAATTCCTAAATCGCGAGTATCGCTACACACGAACGCGCACGCATCGGAGAAAAATGCTAACGACAAGTCAACGAGGTTTAAAGCTAATCGAACGAAAAAAGAAAATGAACAACTCCTTTTCGAAGAGGAGGTTGATACATCCGTATTTAAAAAAGTGATGCGCGCAAGGGACTGTTTGCGACGATCTCTCGTCTCGGTGCGGGGATGGGGGAGGGGGAAGAGGGAGGGGTTTGTATTGTATGCGACCAATCGTATTTAAGGCCGATGATTCTTGTCTCCTTTACATCGTAGGTCGGCATAGAACCGACACCGAGACAGAGACAGAGAATTGACTATCGATCGATCGAACCAATCATATTCGTCGATTGAGCGATGACCACTCGGTGCACGCGAATCAATTTCTTTTTCTAATTTTCAAAATGCGAAACAATCAAGTTGTTCGGAGGAGGGTGTCCAATCGAATGAATCGCACAATCTTTTTCTCTTTTTCTCGAATCGAATATCGATTCGAGCGATCGCTAAATAAATTCCAAACCGACCAAGAAGGGACAAGCTTTGAGATGTAAAGCAAGTCGTAAAGCGATAATGATTCTTTCTATGTGTGTATATGTGTGTGTGCGTGTGTGTATGTGTGTGTCTCCGTGTCTGATCTTGCGTTCTTCCTTCTTCTTCGATCGACGCAGGATACGAAAACGAACGAAAGCTCTTTTCTTCCGATCTTATTCCTCCTCCTCCTCCTTTCTTCCTTTACCTATGACGACGATGACGACGACGATGACGACGACGATGACGACGATGATGGCGAGAACAAAATATCGGTCAAAACGAGATTCGAATCGATTTCTTGTTACGCAGGAATTCCTTTTTTTTTTTTTTTTTTTTTTTTTTTTTTTTTTTTTTTTTTTTTTTAATCATATTCAATTAATCTCTAAACCAACGATCGATATGCTTATGTAATACGATTACGAAGCGATCATCGCGATCATCGTGTTGTTCGTTTCTCTAATTCTCCGTGTTATCATGTTTTTATTGTTATCGTAGCATCGTATCGTCGTCTTTATCGCATTACCGTGCTCAACGTTGCCGTTACAACACGTGTGCAACGTAAACTCCTGTTCTACTCCTTTTTTCCCCCATTCTCTCTTATATCATTTTTGAAACATCAATCCATAATCTTTTAAACGCATTTACCTCAACGTTCATATAATATAATCAACAAAACGTTAACACGAACGTCGCCCGTTTCTTGCTCGAAAAGCAATTATCAGACGATAGTTTACACGAGCAACAGGCGTCGCGAATAATAAATTATCATCGTTAATATATTACTCTTTTCGACTGTGCCGACTAACTATTTTATATATACATGTAA